AGCACAGGTGTGACCATGCTACTAGTCAACTTCTCGATTTGTGCGTGTCATCCAAACCAAACTACTTCTCGTTTTGTGCGCTGTCATCCACCAGATATCCGGCTTCGACATACTTCGTGTAAGCAAGCTGCAAGTGGCGTTGTGCCGCACGCAAAGTACAGGTAGACGGGTGGATTCTGCGGCTCGTTCTGGAATTTCGCCCCACAAAGTCCTCACATAGTTGGACGCTGTGGACCAGCGGATTTACGACAAGATCAAAGCGCTGGGACGCAAGGACGAGGTCCTGTAAACATATGTGTTGTAGGCAATGCATTTTTGGCAAAATGATGAAGAGACACCTGGATTGTCGAGCGGCTTCCCCTGCACACCAAGAGTATCGACGTAAAAACTTCAATCCGTATTCCCCCAGCGTGTAAGCTTGCTCGCTCGACAAAAACACGTCAGCCTGGTAAAGGCCAGTGATAAACTTGTTCAAGGCCTGCACGGCCTCACTGCATTTCATCAAAAGCACATCATCAAAAGTCTTGTCTTTCGTCACATCCTCGATGTACTCGCACATGGTCGTGGAAAGAGAACCCTTGTACCAACTTCCGCTGGGGAAGTTGGCGTTGTTGTCCCACAAAATCGTGTCCTTCGTTATCTTCGTCAGCAAAGGTTGGCGCCCGTTGCGCTGGCACCAGTCCATAAAGTTGTCGGAGAGCTGCTCCATCTTCACGTCTTTGCTTCTGCCAGGATATGTCAGGCTCAGTAAAGCCAATGCTGAACCAGCCAAAGGTTTGCAAATTCCCAGATGGCATGTGTGCCATACATCGTACTTGAACAGCGTTGCTGCTTGGCCAGGCATGTGTGGCAAGTTTGCCAGGGGTGAGTGCTCCACAAAAGGGTCTTGCAAACAAAAGGTCTGCAACCACGAAGGGCTTCGTGTCTGAAAAGTCTCAAAAGGATGGTCTCGTTGTCCCGCTCGACATAAATGACAAATCCCCTCAGGGTTCTCGACATGTTTGCAGTTCTTCGTAACATGGTTGTAGTTACGGGCAAGCTTTCCCGATTTCGCAAGCCATTGCCAATCCCCCACCACCGCCAGTACTATGGCAAAGTATTTTTTGCCGGTCCTCTCGTCCACGAGACCCTCGTGAAGCATAACATCGTTGTCACGCTTACAACATCGAAGCAGCCTGTCGAAGGCACCTTCTTCCTCGTAGACCTTCTTTGGCCATCCAGCCTGTTTGGTGATTTGATTGAGTTCTTAAAACAGGTAACAATTCAAGGGAGCTTTGTTTACAGGTTTCGGTTTGATTAGTTCGCTTTGGTCTGTCCGGAAAAAAAGGACTATATCCCTGTCTATATCGGTATAACGACCAGGTTGTATACGTTACCTCGATGACCGCAAATAAAAAAACCGGACCAACATGTGTGTATATCTGCTGCCATGTAACCTGGAGAAACCGGTTCGTGAACGAGTGCCCCCGGAAATTTGTCCGATGTTTGATGTACTCTTTGCGAACACCGTGCTTCTTGCGAAATCGATCAGCTGGTTCTGCTCCACGTCCTAGCATGGATGACCAACTTGTGACAAGAAACGGCAAGCGTCGGCGGCCTCTGCCTTCGTCCCCGTGATACAGTAATGGGGCGGTTCGCTCCAATGAAATCTTTCCCTGCCGTTCCAATTCATATATCGGATGAGACTCATTCGAAATCTTGTACCGCTCCCAGAAATGCCGTAGGATTGCTTCTTGTCGAATCTCGTCTGGTCGAACCAGTCCTGTAAGAATATGAAAGCAATTCTTGACCAGCAAAAATCGGATCCAGTCTTGGAGGTGCAGAATTGTCAACTTGTTGCCACAATGCATCAAACTGCGCAGTGGCACATGTGTTTCAAGGCTCAGGTGCAGTCGCTTCGTAAGCAATCGGTGAGAATCCCTTTCAGCATTCCTGTCGCTACACTTCGAAAGCTCGACGAGCCCTCCACTAGCTCTGGCAGAGTTGCCCAAATCCCGGACCAGATTCCGGGCTGTCCGCACTGCTGAAGAACATGCTGCCTCGGCGCAGGGGCCATGCTAATCGAGCGGAAAGCTTCAAAGCTTCGCAGGTTTGAGATGGGATCGAGGATTCATTGGATTCGAGGGAGATCCTTTGTTGTTTTGGAGCTGATGGGGCTATCGGGTTATCGTTGAGCCTGCAAAGGCTTCGTTTCATCCTGGAAGTATACCTGAATATAGTGTTTCTTTGTTACTGTAGATCAAGGGTTTACACGGTTCAGATACTCAGGACTCTACACAAGATTTGTCAAGTACCAAACCACAGTATTAGGAAAGCAGAGCGAAGGTGCACTCTGTATTTTTCCAAAAAGGATCCGAACATGCTCAAGTATTCTGAGGTCGTAGCTCCACTGCCGATGTCTGCGGCGAGGCCCCGGATTGTGTGTCCGGGCTTGGGACCTGGCACCACGGCCCGAGACCGGGGACTCGATCTAAATTTGGGATGGTGTCGCTCGGGGGTGTTTATGAAGCTCATTCTTGGATTGCCCGCAACACTAGAAAGATCTACAGGGAAGCATGGACGAATTGAGGCATGTTTGTAGGGTTCGGGTGTAGATTTGTTCTTCTTTACATAATCCGGCGTCGGGCTTAGGGTTTATACAAGGTTTACAGGAAATTTAGGATAATTTGTTGGGTCGGGGTGCTGAAGCTTCGTTTCCACCATTACCCCCAGCGATGCAGCGCATGTCATTATGCATGCGGCGAAAACCGCAGCGAAGCCCCTTTCGGGAGCACACAGAAACACCTCCTGAGGCACCCCTATATCAGCAAAGACCGAAGCACATCATGCTAACATGAAGCGATATATACAGCCAGGTGACCATTCTCTTGAGACAGCGTGCGTTCATCCAGCCGGGTGCTCGGGAGGCAGCAGGTTAACCCGCTTTGTGAAACCCCTTTCGAAGCAGTCTACTTCTTACCACCCTTAGTGGCAGCAGGCTTAGCCTTAGCCTTAGCAGCTCGCTTCGGCTCCGCGGCTTCAGTACTCTTGCTGTAGAACTTCTTGTCGTTCCTGCGATCAGGAATATCAAGTCATCTAGTCAGATTATGATAGGAAAGGGTTCAGCTACATATCGGGGCTCCTGATTTTCGTCTCCGTCGCCACTGCTTTGCTGCACCTGAGACGAAACTTGCAACCCAGAACCGCCCCTAAACCCTAAACCCTTACACAACTTACACCCCTATATAAAGCTTAAACCCTCAATCTCAGAAGCTCACACAAAGGTGGCTTCCTTCATCTGCTTTTCGGCCTCCGCGAACATCCTGGGCAGCGGTTTGCTCAGAAGGATCGAAGGCTTAAATTTTGGGGTTACACAGGACTATACGGGTTTATAGGTTGGGATCACACTGTAGATCATCTGAGGCACGCATCATTGAATCCGAAACATTCAGCACGAACTTGGATTTCATTGCATTTCTCATACTGAAACTCCATCTTCTGAACCTGGTCGTCTAGATCCTTCATGGACCTGGGCACAGCAATGATATGAAGCGATAAAAATTCTTTCTAAAATGCTGTAGATATTTCTGTAAATGTTGCAGTGATGATACTTCTTCACTTCGGAAGAATCGCTGAAGTTGTCGCGAAGATCCTTGACCAATCCCTTCATCTTGTTGCTCTTGTGCACGATACTCTCCACGAACTTCTTGAGGGTGGTCTTGATCTGGCAACGGCAGAATAAGAAGCAAGAGAACAAAGACCTAGCAAAAACAGATATGATCGTGCTTTTGCAAGCCCTCCGACCTGGGAGAACTTTTCATCAGCAGTGGGTTTGCGATCATCAGCACCCTTTCTATCTTGCATGCCAGATAGGCCGCTGAATGCAGAACCCAGATCCACAGGATTGTCGGCCTGTTCAGATCATGTAAAGCCGAAGAACACAGACCGTTGTAGTGATGAGCCCAACCCGCACCTTCTCAGATGAGTAACGTTTCTCCTCTTTCGTGAGTGTCTCTTCGTGAGTTCCCGATTCTCTGATGGTGACCCAGAACTCTTCCAGCTGGTCGTACTGATTCTTCCTCAGAATTACCAGGGCAACCCAGATCAGCTATATACGTGTTTCGAAGACAGAACCTGGCCAGGGCACCGCACGTGTGTATCCGGCCGGGCACGGCAGTACTTAATCGCCCCACTGATCCGAGTCCTTGTGCAGCGATGAGAATCAACAACCATTTGAAATACACAAGAAACTCAATCAGTGTGTGCGCGTGTATGTGTCTCTCCCTATCTCTCTCTCTCTCTCTCTCTCTCTCTCTCTGTCTCAACTCTCTCCTCCCCCCCTCTCCTCATATGCGCTCTCTGTGTAAGCTGCCGGCAAACTCCATTTCAACTCCGTCTTCATTTCGCTTTCCGAGTACCACCCGGCATCCATCTTGATTTTCTGTTTCTCCTTCTTGGTGATGATTCGCTCCAGCTTGTGCATGAAGTTTCCCTTATCGCACGATTGAGTTTACTGATATTGCAGAATCCTGCTAGATTTAGCAACTGTATATATCAATAACTCATTCAGTCAAGCAACCTTATCGAAATTGCATTCTTTCAGGAGCAGACTCATTTCCTGCTTGTGTGCCTTCCAGTGTTCTTTGACCCACTGCGGCGCTTCGAGTTCTTTTCGTTTGCTCTTTGTGGCCACGAAGCGACCCAATCTTGCACGGGCAGCCAACAAGAGCCTGTCCTTTGGCAATTGAGTGTCAATACATGCAGACAACCGCAAAACCTCAGGCAATAGATGTAGTCAGCACAAGTCCTGACGAGTCAGAGCTTTGACACCGGCTTTGGCCATCTTAGGCGACCGCTCGCCCACGGCAGTGTCTGTCGGGGCCTCACGTTTGACTCCTGAAGTGGGGCCTGCTCGGCAAGGGGTTGCAACGGGTCGGACTTGCTGATGGCCTTGCTGAGCTGTAGCAGAAGGGTCAGGCTTGGGGAAACCACTTTCCGGAGGTGCATCGGGTCGGCGCTCACGGGGGCTCGGGGACTCCAAGGCTTCTTGCTCCATCTTCACACGTTTCAAGCCCTCGAAGAACTGTAGCATCTCATGGTCCTTGATGTGTGACTATAGCTTCATCGAACTCAGCGGTAGCTCAAGCAATTTCCTTTATATGTGGGAAAAGCAGTTGCAACCGAGTAGCATCCACTTCGAAATCATCCTCACCGTCATCTCCAAGCACTGCGGCCGCTTCGAGGTCAGCAGTAGTTGCCTCATAATTTCGTTTGAAACAATTAAGTAAACTGGGGTCTGATGTTCCGGCTAGGTACTGGGATCGTCTCGAGAGTCTCTGCGCCCGAGGCCCGCGATGGGGTGTATGGATCCACCTCGAGAACATGACAGGAGACCCGGTAGAACTTTCCGAACATCGTGCAGTACAGGGGCGAGGGTGGATTCGGCTGTCAGATCAGCATCTGACGGCCCAAGGTCTTGTTCCAGGTCCTGGTTACAGGGTCAAGTTGTGCTTTGGGGGAATCGAGGCTACTACTGCTACATATATATATATATAGTATAGTATATAAATATATGCTAGTGTATTGCTTTCTGTTGCTAGTACTACTATATAGTGCTATACTAGAACAAGGCCAACAACAAGTACTATTATTCCTACTAATATACTTTGATACTACTACTACTACTACTACTACTACTACTACTACCACCACTACCTACTACTCCTACTGCTACTGCTACTGCACTGCTACTACTGTTGCTGCTGCTGCTGCAGACACTGCCTGTGTAATTGCCACTACCACTAGTACTATTTGTATTGTTCTTACTACGAGCTGTGATTATGAGAACGCCCCGAGTCTACAAACTCCCCGCCAGGAGGAACGTGGCCCAGTTGTAGCCGATGCCTCCATCCGTGTCATGGATACCAGATCCTTGGTCTGGTATCCATGACACGGATGGAGGCATCGGCTTGGATGAAGCCTTTGGCACGGTCGAGGCCGCCTGGTGTTCCCTTTTAACTAAATAACTAAATAAGGTTTTCTTAAATATATATATATATATATGCTTGATATCCCTAACTATATAGCCTTCTCTGTAGCGAACAACTTTAATAAGGACCCAGTTTCCTATTTGGTTTGTGTGTTTTTATAACAACCTAAACCTACCATGTAGCTAAGGGGCCTTCATCCAAATGAGCATAAGCCCGCGCCCGGAATTCAGGGTGTTTGCGTTTGGGGATTTGGGTAGAATGCGGCTTTGAGGCTTTGGGGACTTATAGCATAGAGGACCCAGAGCCCAACTTCTTTAATCAATGAAGAGACCCTGCATATCTCGAATCCAAACAAGCTTTGGGCTTTGGGTGTTTCTAGTGTTAGTAATATCGAAGCAGCAACAGTAGCAGCAGCAGCAGCACCAGTGTAGCAACACAAGCCGTCGTAGTATAGTCGCAGAGGCAGCAGCAGCAGCTGGTCGTTATGTTCTAGATTGTGAAGTTTGCTGGTGCTGTTGGTCCCTGTGCTGCTGGTGGTGGTGGTGGTAGTGGTGGTGGTGGTAGTGATGGTGTTGTTGATGATGATGTTGTTGTTGTTGTTGTTGCTGCTGCTGCTGTTGTTGTTGTTGTTGTTGTTGTTGTTGTTGTTGTTGGTGTTGTTGTTGTTGTTGTTGTTGTTGTTGTTTCTGCTGCACTGGTAGGTATAGCAGGGGACAGGGTTATAGGGCTTAGGGTTTAATGGAATGTGTAAAGGTGTTTACCTATCGTTCCCGAAATCCCCTGCACTGGGTCCTGCATCTCCGCAAGCAATCTAGCTTCTTCGGCTTGTAAACGTTGAATCTCTGCTTCTTGCGACACAGCCGCCACACCGTCGTCTAGTGTAGCATTGCTCCATGCTTTGGACTGGACAGGACCCGACATCTGGTCCACGGAAGCTACGACAAGGAGTGCTGCGAGGCCTGCGGTTTCAGGGGCGAGTGAGCTCAGAATTGGACAGGGGCTCAGTCGGCACATAATAAGAATCTTTCCGGCCGCAAAGTAGTCAACGATCCAGCAGAGGCAGGCATATGTTGCCCAATTAGGGTGTTTAAAAACACCTTGAGGCCTGATAGAAGTCTCACAGCCCGGAAGCAAATAACCCATAAATTTTTTATGGGGTTTTACGCTTTATTTATGGTGTTTTTACGCTTTATTTATGGGTACCGCTTTTTCGGAAAAAGTAGGGTGTGCTATATATATGGGTTTTTACGGGTTGCATTTATGGGTTTTTACGCTGTGTTTCTGGGTTTTTTTGGGGTAAATATGGGTTTTTACGCTCACCGGCTAGTATAAAATCTATGTTAACTCCTTTAAAACCAACAAAGAGGTATATAAACACTTCCAAGACCCAGTAAAAGCCACAACCCACCATATCCGTATATCGAACAAACTCACCCAACAAACTATGAAATCCTGATCCCTGCACTCGAGTCCCTTAGAACCACATCCCGACCCTTCCTCAATAGGCTTCCGAGCACCTGTGAGATTCTAGGGAGCCAGAGGAAAGGACTTGGGCAGCAAGGTTTGCCACTTTTCGGGTACCTTGAGCCTTGTGGATCCTCTCAAATACACAAAACACTCTGCGAGGTTCACATTCGACCAAAGCTCGGGGTTCGTATTGTAGGACATAGCACGAAACGTGTCTGTCGCTGCCGGCACAACCTCCGGAAGCTCAGGCTGCCCTTGGCCTGTCGTCCTCAGCTTCTCGAGGTTGTCGGCCACATGGCAGGCGAATCTCATCGGGTATATCCTGGGCTGAACGAGGGATGGATATCTCGGGTTAAACCAGAGCACCATTAGGTGTGGCGAATCTACATAAGGATGTCGTTCTTCACTTTGTGGGACTGGTTGAGCTGTTCTACTGTGGGCTTTCACATTAACAGTTCCAGCTGGGTCTTTATGTCGGGTGGTTCTATACTGTGGGGCTTTACATTGGATTGGGGCTCCGCTTTAGGCCTGTATATGTTGCACTTCTCGAGTCGGGGTATATGTGTCTAAGTACTGTATGATCATCTTGCATCACCGTATTAGTTGTTATCAATCATTATCTCTTGTGTCTATATACATGCTGGTATAGAGATACCTATCTTATCTATCAACCTATCTATGTATTTAGCTATGTCTATCTCCATTGGGTTTATGATTTCTATTAAGGGCCTTGAAGCAATCGGGTTGCTGCGTCTGACGAAGAGCCGGTGTCGCAGTGAACTTCTCTCTACCATCCTCACCTCGCTTCCTTTTGGTGGTTTTAACCACCGAGCTCTGTTGAGAACTCCAGGAGTTCCTGTCCAATTTTCCTGTCTCCAAGCAGCAGATATGCGGACTGTTAGCAAAGGCATACTGCCGTTTAGGCGTCGGCGCACCATACAAACCCATCCACCATTCGACTTGAAAAACCTTAGCTTGGATACCACATAGAGCTTTCCTAGCTTGCGGGTACGGGACAATAACAACTGAGCCAGTCACTGCTTGACAGCCGAGGACATTGTACATGTCAAGCATTAGGTTGCGCCATGTCGGGTGGAATTGGACGAGTGAACCACCAGGTTGTTCTAGCACGAAGCATCCTTTGAGGCTTGCAACCAAATAGCACAAAAGGGTTGTCCTGCCACAGGGGGTATATTGTAGCGTTCAGAACCGGTAACCTTCTACATCCAAAAAACAGCAATGTAACGAAATACACATGAAAGCTCCGGAGGCCTCTCTAGCAAACAATTTGCTTCCCTCACTGATTTGTACGTAGACTCACCAATAGCCGCGCATTCGCAACGCTTTGATGTGCCCCTGTTCATACCACAGAATGAAGAGCACTTCAGTGCAAATAGGGCCACGAAGCCGGACGGTGAGCCCCGAAGTAGAAAGAAGCATGCCAACCTAGGCCCGGATCATGGAAGTGTTGAGAACAGTTTCGCATCTAGCTAAACAAGACTGCTGTATTCAGTTTTGGATGACCGAGACACAGAAAGCCTGAAGCATTGCTTGTGCACCGATCCTCTTTATCGTGGTACAGTATGTCGAATCTTGCACATTTGTACATCTTCTGGCGGCAGGCATAGGTCAGATTTGCCCTCCCTGCGAAGAACTCGAGGAATTCCATGTCCTTAAGTCACCGAACTCCAAATTTCGAATTGCTGCCTTGAATAACACTGCGACCTGCCTGAAGGAACTCGTCTTCGTCACGCGTGAAGATGAGGAGCAGCAGGCACAGAACGAACTCCTGGGCGAGGGGTCTTGTTTACACAATTGTTCGGAGAAGGCTACGTAGATCCTTGTTTATTTCAGATTCAGATAAACAAGTATATCATGTACATATACCGGTCGATATATGGATAGATAGGTACATATATATATATATGTAGATATATAGATATATAGATATATACAGAAGCTTATAATTCTAGAAAGGTATATAGATATATAGATATATTAGATAGATAAATAGATCGATAGATCGGTATAATCCGGGGATGGGTTTCATCATGTTTCTTCTTTGTGGCTGTTTGGGTTTCATGTGTATTATAAGGACCAGATAGAATACAAGTGGAATATGTAGAGGCGAACATTTTGCTGCTTTCGTCGCATGTATATATGTGTATATGTACATACACGTGTGTAATATATGTATATATATTCCTATATATATTATATGTATATATACATATGTCGATGGTATGAAATCGTGATTATTATATTTCAGATACGTATATTTGTATATACACACATTAATCTTCGCAGGACACAAGGCACCTGGACCCAAACCTTCCACCTAAAAGTTCCCCTATATAAATAGAGCTTAGGGTTTACAAGGCGCTTTGGGTTTAGGGTTTTTGAGCTTCTGGCTGCTGGGCTTGAAAAGCCGTCCAGATCTGGGCTTGTCGCTTCAACAAATCCGAAGTCCTGCCCAAAACCCAACACACCCCGAAACCAACAACCCCACGTATCCTATAATGCTTCTCACCCTGAGCTGAACCTTCAAGCCTGGGGGTAACAGAAGCCTGTTTTTGCTAACATAAAGCGAGACCCGCCCATCCTAGCAAAGCCCAAGCTAACTTCCCCACCGGTACGAAATGAACAACTCTACAATCTCCTTCGGAGCCCGGAGCTTCGAAAGTCTCCAGACAAGAGCGTCCAGATCCAACATGGTATGTGCCACAGAGGAACGAGCGGCGATGGAGTCCTTTATGTTGAAATTGCTGAGGCCGGCGTGATTGTACATGCAATGCTGCATTCCACATTTCAGGAATTGTCACCGATGCAGATGTTCTGCTAGAGTGCTACGCTTTTGCACAGACCTGTAAACACGCCCAAACATGGCTGGCAGCACGTTTCTTCGACAGGCGCTCCACGCGAAGCTTCCAGATATCTTTCTTGATGCGTTTGGCCTCGGCACGGAGCATGAGGTGTAAAATGGGCTTTCGGTCACAGGGTCAAAACCCTATAGCCTTTGTAAGTTTAAGGGGTTTAGCAGGATTATGAGGTAGCTAAGTTCAGTGCAGCTTCTAGACTATATAATGTCTTGTATACTACAGAGTTTGGTGGCGCTTGGGTCACAAAGCCACAATTAGGTCCCATGGATGAGAAACATCAGGCCAAGCTCAATTAAAGCCCGAAACAGGAGTACCCCAATAGGCAGCAATAAGCTAAATCAACCCAGCTACCAATCCCCAACTACCTCAAGAATCCTCCTTATATATAGGGTTTAGGGTTTAGGGTTTAGGGTTTGGGGTTTAGGGTTTAGGGTTTAGGGTTTAGGGTTATATAGATTCATTATGATAACCTTTGAATCCCGTGAATCTGAGTGAGTGCATGCCCGGCCCTTTTCGGGATGCCCTCCCTGGCGATCGAAAGCTCCACTGCTTCTTGTAGCACAGCCACAGCGTGTCGACAACAAGCCGAGGTCTATATAGTCGAGAATCGAGGTACAGAAATGGTTACGTTCATAGATTCATAGTTCATGTAGGCAACATAAGTTTTTTCGGGTTGTAATAGACACTGGCTTGCTGGTAATGCACGAGCGGCACAAAGCTGCAGGCTAAGCATCAAAGCATCTTCAGCGGGTGGCTTTGTTCCCCGCTCAGCTGAGGAGGCAGCGAGCACCCCAACAAGGCACACAAACTAGACTGAAGAAACTCAATGCACGGCAGCACAAATCGCACTTCTTGCGGACACAGCTATGAAGCAGATCACTTGTTCTTCTTCTCCTTCGAAATCTTCTTGACAAAGCTCTCCGCAGCAGTCTCACATGCTGCCTGCACCGTATCAATGTCGATATTCCACTTCTTGAACTCTGCCACACAGTGGGTCCAAAAGGGATCCTCTGAGACGCACACAATGATACGCACAACAACCCTTTTAAAAGGTGACAAGCCGAATTCCCCGGCCCTATTATTCCCAATCTCCTCGAACGAGCTTGGGCACGTCGACTTGAGCTTGGGGCGCACGATCGTCATGAAGGCCTCCCGGATGGCGTCGAACTTGGCCATAGCCATCTGTCTTTTCTCTGGCCTGTACCGCCGAGCGAATGTCGAGACCTTCTCGGCGTCCTCGTCGCCGTCATGATCCTCAGGCTCCACGGGCTCGGGCTCTGCGGCCTTTGCGAGGGCCTTTGCATCCTTCTTGGCGGAAGCTTTTGCTTTCGCCTTGCCTTTCGCCTTGGGGGATGCTTTGGCCTTGGCTTTGGCCTTTGGGCGACCGGCCTTCTTGGGCTTCGAGTCATCATCCTCAAGCGATGACTCAGCTTTGCGCTTCTTGCCCTTCACGGGGGCTGCGGGCTCGGGCTCGGCGTCACCATCCCAATGACCGCCGTCATCGTCGCCATAGTCAAGCCAGTGCTCCCACTCTTCGGCGGTGTAGCCTCCCCACGTATCCTCAAACTCACCCTCAGGCTTTTTGTTCTTGTTGCTCTCGTTCTTGTCACCGCCACCCTTCTTCTTCGCCCCACGCTTGTCCTCCGCCTTCTTCGCAGCACGCACAGCCAACTGATCCACACGGCCAACATCGGATGTGGTAACCTGTCCCACTCACACACAACCCAGAATTCACTAGAAAGACCCCGCGTATATTAAGATTGCGACTACATAGAAATATATTGTAGCCTTCTCATCTGGGGTGAAAGGATCCTTGGACCCCTTCGCTTTTGCATCCAAGACCTCTGGCGAATATGGGTTGTACGGCAGTCGGGCACCCTTGGCGGATCCAGGCGACTTCATCTTCTTTGTCTTGCACTGCCTTAACTGATAGTCCTCACGAAGCTCAGCAGCAGTGACCTCGCTGGTCTCCTTGCGCTTGCTTGAGGGAGGCTCTGAAGAGGGTGGCGGGCTCTCGGCCTCGAAGATGTTGTGGGGGAGGGTCTCCTGGTCATCAAGCACCACCAGTCCCGTAGAACCGGGCACGCTCGCGATGCCGGCCGAAACCTCGGAAGGTCCTGGCAGGCTTCAAAGTTTAACACCTATATAGATACAGGGGTGGGTACTCCATGCATCTCAATCTCCAGATCCACCCGGGGTCCTTCAGTTGAAACGGAACCAGCACTTCGACAAGCTTGCTTTTGACCCTTCAGCCTGAGCAAAAAACATTATGCGAAATAAGTCTGGGTCAAAGACAAACACACATATATAGACACCCACACACACACACACTCAGACACGTAGAACACAGGAGCCAAGGCAGGAACTGCTCGATGCGTTGCTTCAACTCAGCCAATCGTGCAAGCTTCAGGGCTCTCTCGGATACACCTCAGCCATAAATTTATTGACCATGGCCAAACTCGATGCTACACATGCATGAACATACAGAAGCAACTGAGACATTAACTGTTGCGGGTTGGGGTGGCCAGGGGCTTGAAAGTGACCTTCGATCCTGGCTTCTTCCCCGCCTCCTCATCGGAAGCTTTGGCTTCCGTACCGGAGCCGGCAGCTTCGGCTACCACGGCGGAGCCCAACTCCGTTGGGCCGTTGGTTTCAAGCACAACAGCGGCTGAGACCCCATCGTCCTGGCTACACCCTGGCGCAGCCAAGTCATCAGCTTCATCATCAACGACGATTGTACCGCTGGGAAAAATCGGTTCCTCACTTGGCCTCGTATCTGCCCCAGCAGAAGCAGCAGAACTTACATGGCAATGAAAATCATTAAACTCATTCATCAAGTTATGAAGATCTTCGCAGCCAGCACCACCAGCTTCTGCATTGACGTCCTCAGCATCTCCTGCTGAGCCACCCGTGCCCGCGCTGGACGACGGGTCTGCCGGCTCTTCGCCCTCTTCCAAGGTGTCGTCATCATCGTAAGCATCTTCATCGTCGTCCACGGCCTGATGTAAAGCTGATACTTATATAGATATCGGGAAATTTCACCGGGCCATGCTCATGACAAGTTTTCTGTTCATTTCTCTTCTGTCCTCTTGACTGCCGGCGGAAGCAGTCCTGCGCCTTGCCCGATTCGCGTTGACAGCATCGACCACATCCTCCGAAGTGTTGTGGTTTCTTGGTCAGATGTTGGGGAGCACTGCAATTCAGGGAAAGTTTCAAAATCAGTCCTTGAGGCTGGGGTCCAAAATCAAGCACAACTCTTGGAACGAAGGCACCTGGGCTTTGGGTTTAGTTAGCATATATCTTTGTAATGCTTCACATTGCAACACCATCACGATGCTCATGATGCTTCTGATGAGATAAGGCACGGTGGATACTTCCCTACGGCGGCACTTTGCCTTGATAAAGGAGAGCTGCTTGCGGATGAGCCAAGAATACTTGTCGATCTCGCCTTCATCGTTAGACAACCGCTTCGTGAGATCAAGCACTGACTTGATCTCCACCCGGAGAGCGTCCACTCCGGGCATCTTCTTGTTAGCTTCGTTCATCCTGACAAGGATGGGCCTGATCAGCATGCTGAACTTGCTCGGCAGCTGGATGTCCACCTGCTTCTCACTGACCTCGTGGATGAGTGGCTTGCCCTCGCGCAAGCTGTTGCGGATCTCAGGGGTTGCCTCCCATTCCACCGCCAGGCCATCAAGTGAACAACCCGCCATGAAATCGGGATCCACAGAAAACCGAAAACAAATCTAACTATCCCCTGTTCTCGGTTTTGAGAAGGAGACGCCCAATCAAGCATTTGTTTAGCCGAATGCAAGCTACACACACCCACACTGACACTGATATACTACACACACACACACACACCCATATACACTCCGGTACACTTCCCAATCACAAGATATATACACATGCATAGTTTCAAAACGCACACTAACACACACCCTGCAACAGACGGCTCGCTTGCTGAATCAGTGCTCTCCTCACAAGATGAGCTCCGAGCTTTCATGCGATCGGCGAAAAAGAAGCCATGGCAGCCAGCAAGGCAGCTGCATCGTTCTTTGTAGTAGTTACACTAATCCAGATCTAGCTGGTCCCTACCTTACATACTCGCCACAACAAAAGGCTAAGTATTAATTCCTTGAAGGACCCTCATATATCTATATATGGAGACCCGCGAACCCCTAATGCAACCATATATGCGACTTAAGGGCCTATTTATTTTTGGATGCCTGCACAGAGATGACATCTATTAGGCCCTTGATAACTACATCCTACAGCCAGGGCTGTTTTGTGAAAAGGCCTTCCCATGACTCGGTCGACTTCAGTTCCTGGCTTGATATAAGCTGGAACGACGGGAGCGGCACCTGCGTGGTATCGGGCTTGAGGGCTTGGAAATTACAGGTAGGGGCCTGAATGGTACTCTCATCTTGGGAGCATGTCATATGCTCTCCGGTCTTAAGGGCCGCATGACTTATACACACTACCTCGAAGTCATATACTTAGTGTCGCGGGCACTTCTCGAAGGAGCATCGGTGACTTGGGAATTATTTGGGTATATTGATTTAGCATAAAACTAATGACTTAAAGTGTAAAAGAAGGGTATTTATAAGAACCGGGTTTTTTAGGGGAAACCTCGGTTATCAGATCATCCTAATCCCAAACCTGGGTTATTTTTTTGCACCCGACAAATTATAGGGGTCAAGACGCTGTAGGTATATATATATATATATGTACATGATATGCATACTCATGTGTATGTCTATGTTTGTGTGTATGTTGTGTATGCATGCCTCATGTCTGTTTGTGTGGAAATGTCTGCGTATCTATGCACGTGTTGATGTATGTGAGTATGCATGGATGTATGTAGTATGTATGTATGCATCCATGTATGTACGTATGTACGTATGTACGTATGTACGTATGTACGTATGTACGTATGTATGTATGTATGTATGTATGTATGTATGTATGTATGTATGTACGTGTATGCATATGTCTATGTATATGTATGTATGTAGATGCACAGACCCACACCGCTTCGGGCAGGTCCGCCAAGGAGAGTTCCAGTAGCAGCAGCTCGAGCTCTGGTAGCGACAGTCGCAGCCCAAGGAACCTAGGAACCTGAACTGAAGGTTCAGGGTTCCTTTAGGGCCCTTCAGGGGGGTCTATAAGGGATCTACAAGTTTTAGGGGAAGGTTTCTAGAAGGGATCTATTAGTTTTAGGGAGGTTTGGGCGCAAGTCCGTGTAGGTCTTTTGTTGTTTAGGGTGTATGGTTGTGGGTTTAGGGTTTAGGGAGGATCTTTATGCCAGATACCCAAACGCGGAACTAGATCTACAGGTATAGTTAGACTCACATGGAATTTGGATGCTGCGGGTTCAATCAAGGCAGTCTTTCGGGTTCGGCTTGCCCCAAACCCTAAACCCTGAAGCCTAAACCTTAACCAGCCACCTGCCAAATGTAACATGGGAACCTTTCAACCGTACTCGCTCGAAGTAGGCTATAATAGTAGTGACTGATCGCATATAAGATAAGCGTTTAAATACTTCTAGCAACTAAGTATGTAAATGAATAGCCACTAGCCCGAGCCCAGGGAAGGATCCGCGTCTTTGTCCCATATCCCCTGGGTGTATCCGCCCGAAGCCCTCAAAGGGTTTCGGGTTTAGGGTTAAGGGGTTTGCGGTATAGAGTTTTAGGGTTTAGGGTTTGTGGTTTAGGTTTTAGGTCTAGGGGTTTAGAGTTTAGGGTGTAGGGGTTTAGGAGTTTCGTGTTTAGGCTTTAGCGTTTAGAGTTTCGGGGTTTAGAGTTTTGGGGTTTAGGGTTTGGTGTTTAGGGGTTTGGGTTTAGGGTTCAGAGTTTAGGGCTCCGGCGGTTAGGAGTTACCGGTTTAGGTTTCAGGGCTTTGAGTTTTACGGTTTGGGCTTTCGGTAAACCCCTGGCCCCAAACCCTTAACTCTACATCTGCAGCTCAACCCGCAGAAGCTGAAACGATCCAGAAGAAGCCCGAGCGCACAAACATGGACTCACGAATCACGTCTAGCATTCTGTAATAAACGCTAGAGCCTAAGCTCTAGACCCTAAACCCTAAACCCCAGACCCCAAACTGCAAGCCAAGAATCTAAGCCCCAAGCACGGCGGCCAGTCGGTTGAAAGTACACAGTCTGCAAGTGCTGTGTAGCTCTATCCAGGGTTTAGGGTTTAGGGTTTAGGGTTTAGGGTTTAGGGTTTAGGGTTTAGGGTTTAGGGTTTAGAATGTCTAATACAATCATACTAAACAATCAGGCCCTCTGCAAATGTGCAGCTAGACCCCGACTGCTCAGACAGATCTTCTGCGAGGCACAGCCTCGCAACCTAGGGACCCTAAACCCTATGGATCCTAAAACCCCAAACCCTTTGAGGGTTTGGGGTTTAGGGTAGGGGTTCGGGGTTTGCAGTTTACCTTAACCCTAAACCTAAACCCCCAAACCAGAAACCCACAGCCAGAGCCCTGCACGCAGAACTCCCAAAACCGAGATCCACCACAATGCTGAAATGCAGGTGACAGCTCTGAGGGCGGAGAAGGTCTCTGTCTTTGATTCTGTGTCTGAGAGGATTCATCAGGGTTTCGGCTGAAAGCCTAGGGCGAAGGCAGCGTTTTAGTTAGGTCAGGATTTGTTTTGCCTTTAGGGTTGTTGATTTTGTGGTTGTGGGTTTTTCGGTTCAAGTTTTAACTAGGACACAATCAATCCTTGGCATTATCATCACAAGTGCTCTGTCACACAAACATCTCACTGTGAAGACCAGCATCATGCTGTCTAGCCTGATAGCTTTGAACCTGGTCGCAGTGCTGTAGCTCTTGCGTATGACTGCGGACGCATTTGTTGGGATGGGCTAGGGTTGTTCTTGCTTGTCGGATTGCTGCGAAGTGTATCTGAGGCATTGCTGCACAAGTTGTGCATCGTGTAGGGCATGATCGCATCCTCCCGATGATGATCGTCATCATCATCATCATCACCACCATGACCATGAGCATTACCAAAGTCATCATTCGAAGCATGGTCAAACATTGTCATGTGTTGTAGTTACACACAAACATGCATGCATGCATGCATGCATGCATGCATGCATACATGAACGGTAGAAATACAGGTATCCACACGCATTCAAGAATAGATGAATTTGTGCATACTTGTCCGGACGGCGCATTAGAGTTGAGTCGAGTGGAGTACTCTTTTCGCGACTCTTCACCCCCCCCGCCCCCCCCCTCTCCCCAAACAAAATAATAACAATAATACTAATAATAATACTAAAAGGCTCGAACAGAAGAGCCACAGGTCCCAAAACATAAACGCTGGGTGAGCCCGAACCCTTAAACTTCTCAGAAGAAGCCTAAATGGGAGTTTCCGAAAAGAAGGGGTACCTTATTATGGGGTCCTCATAATAAGGATCCTATTTTTTGGGGGTACTATATTAGGGTCTCCTATTTTCGGAAGCTCCCAAATCCCTAAAGCCAAAACCCCCTTGGAGGCGAGGAGAAGCCCAAGAAGGTGAAAGCCAATGACCAGGCGAAGAGGACGGGGCGGCCCTGTCGTTCAGGTTTAGGGCTTTAGGGCTTTAGGGCTGTATGGTTCAGGGTTTCGGGTTTAGTTAGGATTTAGGGCTTTAGAGTTTGGGGTTTAGGGTTTAGGGATATAGGACTTAGGGATCAGGGGTCATAACGATTAATGTCAAAGGGGTTTCGGGGTAAGGGGTGTTTTGCTCTTAACATGTCCGGCTTTGATGAGGATGGCGTTCAGGTTAAAGAGCTCTGGCAGATATGACATGAGGCAGAATGTTGCGTTCGGGTACTCAACCCTAAGCCCTACATGGCTGGGGTCTACAAACGTGCATGCTGTTGAAGTTGCGAGGTTGGATGGTACGGTCTGCTCTGGTTACAAGGGTTTAGTCTAGGACATGTTCAGGTGGTTAGTTACCATTATAAGAGCCTTGTAGAGGGTCTATATACCTTCACTTATAGAAGCCTTATAGAAGCCCTTTGTACCCTAAACTCCCCACCTGTAGTTTCTATTAATTTAGTATTAGGGTTGGGTTTTTTCGGATTTCGAGAGTGTGGAGGGTCGAGCGGTTTGCCGTGCTTCGAGGATGCAGCTTCTCAAGAAGAAGCGCAAGGAGGCGATGGGGGACGTTGCAGAGGACGAGGCTGTCGCGCACCCTAAACCCTAAACCTTACACCCTAAACCCTAAACTCAAAACCAATGTCCCTGCCCTATGCATAAGTGCAGTCAAAGCCCCAAGCCTCTATCCCGCCACACCCGGACAACTACGTCAACCATAGCCATAACGCCGACTGCGTACCCATCTCTCTTTCTATTCACCCTACCGGCCTACGTACCTGCCTGCCTACCCAGCTGTCGATCTATGTTTAACTAACGATCGATGCATCTATCTACCTTTCAATCCATCGATCTGAATATCTATCGATCTGCCGATCAATCAACCTATCGTTCGATTGATCTATCCATTCGTCTATCTATCTGCCTGTCTATCTACCTACCTGGCTATCGATCCATCTGTATCTGTCTATCTATCTGTCTGTCTATGTATCTATCTGTCTGTCTACGTATCTATCTGTCTGTCTATGTATTCCTCTATCTACCTACCTCTCTCGCTCTCTCTCTCTCTCTCTCGCTCTGTCTGTAAGCTTGTATAACATTGTGGTTAGTTATGTATGTATG